CAGACTCCCAGGTCCCTTTCTGCCTGGGACAGAAAAGTCAGAGACACTTATCTCAGTTTGCTGTCATTTGAAAATTGTGGGGTTACCTGAGCAGAGCTGTGTTAACCAGACCTACAGGGAAACTGCAGCAAGTGGTTGTTACCTTAGACTTGCTCTCAGAGAGCAGAGAATCTTAGCCCGGTCAGCCCAGGTCTGAAAGGAGTTTAAACCCCAAAACTGCTGTTGGGGATCACATCTAGGAGTTCATGGCTGTACAGAACAGCTCTCTCTGCATCCAGGAACTTGAGTGGGATCCTCATGTGCTCAGTATGGACTTGCAGTCACCTTCACCTGCACTGCCAAACACTCTGTATATGGACTTTTTGCATCTTGAATGTATTGTCAAAGATAAAAACTCTGCTCTTGCAGCTGTCCCTGAGTTACACTGACATGTTTTTGCCTTGCCCAAATTCTCCCTTGCTGTCCCTGTTAAGCCAAAACTGACAAATTTTAGTTTTAAGTTCTGGATTTAGAGATTGTAGATTTTAAGTTCTTCTCTCTTACTTTGATGCAATAACTGTGAGGAAGTAATGTTTGTACTCTGTTAATTGCTGTTACCTGCACTGTTAGAAGCAGTTGTTAGCCTTATAAAAAAAAGGTAATTCCTTGGTTAGAAATGTGTCAGAGCTGTGGGAGCTTTTGTTTAGGAATAACTGTGGCTGTATTGAGGCTTCATTTCTAAAAGCAGGGGAGGAGGGAGTGAGTAAACAGTGACTTCTGCTCTTAAGTGAGGAAACTGCAGATTGGCTGTGGATGTTACCAGCTCAAGTGTCTCTTCAGCATCTAATTCCAAAGAACTGAATGGAGAGGAGTTGAGTCACCTCATTTTGTATTTTCAGCATGTAGAAGATGTCCCTGTAGTAATTGTTGCCCAGTCCCTAAGGCTGTCAGTGCTTGGATAAGAATATTCAGCAATCTTGTTTGTAAATGAGACATTTTGGATTAACCATGTTTAGTAGTATCTGAGTGAAACTTAATATGCTCCATGTAAATCACAAGTGCTTTGTCATGGGCAGTAAAGGCAAAAATCACCAAAGTGATGGTTAAACCATTTGGATCAATGCAGAGAGACCCAAGTGCTCAGTATGTGATTTTGTTTGATCCCTGTCATCTGCTTTCAGAGATCAGCAGATGGATCAAGCCCAGAAGATGGAGATGGTAAGAGATCTGATGTAAGATGAAAAGCCCCAGGTGTGTGTCTCCCTGGGCTCTTGTGCATCTCTGCAACTGCTTTTTCCTGCAGAGTCTGACCGGGAGGATGGGAGCTACTGCCCCCCTGTGAAACGGGAGAGGACCTCGTCCCTCACTCAGTTCCCTCCTTCCCAGTCAGGTAAGTGTGGCTTCCTTTGTCCAGTCCTGTTCCTGTCTGTGTGCTTGGGCCACAGCACCCACACACAAACCATGGCTTTTCCTGCAGTCCATCTTGGCAAAGCCAGTGAAGCCCAAGGAGTTGATAGATGAGTTTTTAAAACATTTCCTCTCTGCAATATATACATTTGTAGTTTCAGCTTTTAACCTTGTGCCATTAAATTGAAAAATTAGTCAGAAATCTTTTTGATTTGTTGCTTCTTAGAAGACTTCTGTAAATGCTACTTTTTCTTAATTCCTCTGCTGCCAGGGAAACCTTCCCTGGCTCAGCTCCTGCTTGTTTCTGTCCTTTCCTTTTCTCCCATCCCCTTTTGGAGTGGATTCAGTGCATTCCTGAGTCACCTGGAAGCACCAGAGACCGACCAGGCAGGCAGAGGTCACTGGGAATCACTGGGGGAGATCTGTGTCTGCTCTTTGCTCACCCCCAGGAACGTGGCTGAGGTTTCTGCCTTCTCTTCCCAGGCAGATGTGGAGTCCAACATTCTTCCTTAAGCACCTCCTTGGCTAGTGTATTTTTACTGGATATGATCAGTTATTCCCTGTTTGCCTCCCTTGTGCCCTCCTGGTGTGTCTTGTTGTCAGCAGTGACAGCTTGGGTTGGAATTGCAGCTTCCATAAAGGCTTCCTTGAATATTGCTGACATTATTCCCTGGCTTTGGTTTCCAGACAATCTTTCCCTTTCCCAACTTCTTAGTTCTTCTGTGGGTTATGTTTCTCTCAGGAGCAGGGAAATTTGACTCAGGTGAAACCTGCGTCATGTTTAAGCTTAAGGTAGACAATGATACAGAGAGAGAAAGTGGAAGCAAAGGAAAGAAGCAAACAGGAAAGAATATCAAAACTGAATTGGCTCATCTTTTAGTGCAGGTGTTCAGCTATGAGTTCCCTCTCTCTTTTCAACATACTGAAACTTCTTCCACAGCCTTAGGAAGGCTAAGAGAGCTGAGAAATGCTGTTACACTTTTCCTCGTGCAGAGGTTGGAGACAAAGCCCCAACCTGCTGCTGTTGCCTTGTGACTCTTGGTGGATCTGTGTCCTGCTCTGGTTGACCTATCTCATAACCTGCAGTCTTCTGTGGTTTAGTTCTGTGACTCTTTGGCCAACACCACAAGTGCCCAAACTGCTGCTCGGGGCCCCAGCCTAACTCTCACTCACTTCTCCAGGCCTCAGCCGAGGGTGGAAAATGGACACTGCACTTTGCCTGTTCCTTTCAGACAGGTTTTGCCCCTGTGCTGACAGAAGTGGCTCTGCCAGGACTGTGCTGTGCTGTTTCCATGGGAGGTTTGTCTCTGCAGGGCAGTTCACACCTGGCTCCTGGTCCCCAGAGCCCTGCAGGGCCTGACCTGTTCTCTAATGCTGTTCTAACATCACTTCTAGTTCCTCCTCCAGGTACAATTCACATCAGGAATCCTGTGGTTATCTTTCCTTCAGAATAAAGGAGATTCATTCTTTCTTTGTCTCAGGATGAACTAAGGGGATTTGATGGACCATGTGTTTATTCCTTTGGCTGCGATGTTGGTTTAGTTTAGAAGGAATAAAACCAAAATCAAATGACTAGCAAAGTAATTTTCAGTTTGAAGCCTTTAAACCTGTTCCCTGACATCCAGAATTAAGAACAACGTGCACAACTTCTCCTAATGTTTGGTTTTCCTTTGGCTGCAGTAACCAAGAACAATGTCTTTATGCCATCAAGCTTCTGTGAACCCTCTGCAGGCAATTCTGACTCAGAACCAGGTGAGTTCCCTCATTTCTCTACTTCCTTATCAGCAAACTCTTGTCAGTTTGCCATGACCCAGAGCACTGTGACACTTCACAACTAAGGCCTTGTCTTGGGGAGTGGAAGTGATGATGGTTCTGATCTTAGAGCTCTTCTCTTGCTCACTTCATGGTCTGGTTTCACCCCTGCTGGAGGAGTGATGTAGGATTGCATTGTGACCCTTCCCTGTTAGCCTCATGATAAAACTTAAGGGAAATTTGCCTTTACCTGTTTTGGAATGCTGTTCTTTTCTGCTGGAAACAATCTAAGGTCCTGGTGATGTTCAGCATGACCTGAGCCCTCTGTGCACACAACTGCTCCTTTTGAGTCCCTGTTGCTCTGGTTCAGGTGTGTTGGTATCTTGTGCTTAACTGGTGTGAGAATAGCCAAGGTTAGATGCTGAGCTGTCTTACTCTGAGCACTGACATTATGCCCCTAAAAGGAAAAACAGTTTAATTATTCTCTAAGTTCTTAGGAACTGAATTTTCAAGAGCTGTGAACTGATGTTATTTTCTGGTATTATTGAGCTGCTGTATTTTTAGCCAAAAACCCTAACTGCTGTGAGTGTGAGCAAGGGAGTTTCTTTTAGCTGCATGCTGTAAAAGGATACAGTAAAAACTAATGGAATTACAAGAAACACAAGATTGAGCAATGAAGTTTAACTTAATTTATGGTAGTTAGCAGTTGGATGCTTGTTGGCAGCTCTCGGGGTCAGTCATGCTCTTGGTTGGCCTTTCTGTAGTTTGACTCTCACAGCCTCTCTGCAGCCCTTCACAGCAGGACTCCATTGCTCTGGTGAAATGATCTCTTTTGTCTTTCTTCTGAAAAGCAGTTTTGCATTTTTTGCTTGGCTGTGACATCATTTGACTGTGACGCTCACTGAAGATTCACATTTCTTTGGGAAGAAGGGAACTTGTTCTTTGGAAATCTTCTTATGACTTTGGATACTTACAGAACTTGTGGGGTGTTCCAGTGGGGAAAAGATGAAGAATTTAATGACTGAGTGGATATTTGGAGTATGTTCCAGCTTTGTCCTTGTCATTCTGTGTTGTGCTTTCAGAGGAGAAGAGCAGTGGGTTCCGGCTGAAGCCACCGATCCTCATCCATGGACAGGCACCTAGTGCAGGTCAGTTCCCTCTTTGCTGGGACAAGACAAGGAAACCAGTTTAGCATTTTATTTAGGAGTTTACTCAACCTGCTCTTGTAACTGGAAGGTGACAATTCCTGTGTCTCTGCAGGGAAAAATCTGGTCTTCTCCAAAGTGGTTGTGCCTAGATGTGTGATGTGGGTGGACATGTCCACTCTTTGCCTGGGAGCAGCTGTGTGTCTGAGGTATCTCTTCTAGCTGGGTGTGCTTGGAGTAGACCTGAGCTCTGTGAACTCGAGTCTTTGGGTAGCAAACTGCCACAAAAAGGGTTTTTTTGAGCTGTTGAGTTGTTATATTCCTTTTGTCCTTTGGATATGAGTGGCCTGAGATGGAACTAGTTGCTATGAGTGAGTTCTGTGGCAGATTTATTGGATCAAGAGTTCATCTTGACTTGGTTTAATGAAGAAAACTGAATCTTCTGGGATTGCCATAACCTTCTGGAGTTGATGTTACAGTGTTTGGGGTTTTTATTAGGTTGTTTAAGGTCAATTGTCTGTTTGAATCATAGTATCAGACAGAGCATGTTAAGGGGCTGGAATGGAGCTTAGAGCTCATCCAACCCCAACCTCTGCCTTGGGCAGGGACACCTCCCAGCAGAGCAGGTTGCTCAGGGCTTGATCCAGGCTGGAATGACCAGTGCCAGGACTGGGGCAGCCACAGCCTCCCTGGGCTGTAGTGCTGTGCATCTCACTGTAGCAAACCAAAGAGGCTCATTCCAAAAGGTCATCAAAGGCTGTTCAATGACACAACACAACTGTTGCACTGTCAGTGTGTTTGATTGTATGAGGAAAATAAATATCTTTTACCAGCACCTGGAAATGGCTACACTGGGAGGAGAAAAGAAGACTTGGAATGTGTAACTGAATAAAATGTCAGTGCATACTAGGGCTGGTGTGTGCTGGTCATTTCTCTTACCCTTTGTCTTTATTTCTGAGTCAGTAGTGAACTCTCCTGTGCTTCTCGGGTGAGGAGGAGAATATATTTTAAGGTGTCTTTACAGGCTAGGAAAAAAATATTCTTATTGGGACTAATTCTGTCTTGAGGCTGAGTGAGGGGTAGAAAACAGGGAGCAGAAGCTTTTTTTTGCTGTCTCTTTTGTTTTTTCACTGTATGTTCTGTTGAAAGGAGTTCCAGAGGAGATGAGCTGGAGCTGAATTTCTCAACGTGAAAGCTTTGTAACCCTTGAAAGCCTTTGCTCTTGCAGGTGTGCCCAGCCAGAAACCCAAGGAGCAGCAGCGCAGTGTGCTCCGACCCGCAGTGCTCCAGCCCCCTCAGCCCAAAGCCTTCTCCCAGATGGGTAAACATTGCCTTTGCTTGCTACAGTGCTGTGCAGAGAGAGCAGAAATAGTGCAGCTGTTCCCTGTAGTGCTTTGGGTTGGCTCAGCACCCACCTAGGCTTCTCTTTTCAGGAGAGAAACATCTTAAGTGTGTCTGTGTTACATAAGGGGTGACACAGTGGAGCCTTCAGGCTTAGTGCAGGATGACTGACACTGTCAGGCCTCTAGTGTGTAGTCCCTGTTTGTGTTTGGCATAAAAAGGCTTTGAAGGGCCTGGCAATCTCAAATGGCAGTACTGACTATAAGCTGTTGCTGACTGATCAGCAGTGAAGTGCTTGAATCACTGAGAGGTGTCTCCAGGCTTGGGGACCATTCTGGAGTTGTGTCTTCAAGACAAAGTTTGAATTCTGAGTATGGTGTTTGAGTTCTTTGGTCATTCATCTCATGTTTATTCTGAGTATTTTAAATTGAACTGGATCTAGTTGCTGGAAATAAGCATCACTAAAGCAAAAGAGCTGTTTGAAGTGTCCATGTCTCCTGAATTTCACGTTCCACAGCTTTATGTGATGTGGAAGTTGAGTTGGGCAGAAACAGGAGTAACCTCAGTGAATGCTGAGTCTGGCATAGAACCAAACATTTCCAGCTTGATTCCCTGCTGTGCCTCCTGGCACAGACTGGGCTCTGCAGAGAGCTCAGAGTTGGGGTACAAATGTCTGTGAGCAGCTAGGCCAGTCCCTGGAGGAGCCCTCCCAACTGGGAATAGCCTTAGACTGGAGCAGGGTGGTTGCCTGGAGTTGTGTATGTTGAAGTCCTTGCAGCATTTGTACAGGTTAAGTGACTTTTTGCTGACTTGGATTCTGCTCAGAATTGCTGACCAGTTCTCCTCATGTCTCTTGCCAAGTCCAGTGGGAACTCTCTGGTTTACAGTGCAATGTTTCATGGACTTAAACCAGAGAACTGCATGCAGTTCTAATTGGTAAACCTCTAGAACAGTGTAAATAGCTGATAACTGATGTTTGCTCTTCCCTTGTTGCAGTTCTCAGCAGTGGCACCAATGGGGTAAATATCCCACCAGAGTCTGCAGCCACATCAGAGTCACCAAGTGATGCAGCACTGAAAAGTTCTGACTCTGAAGACAAGGTAAGCTGGACAAGGAGACTCAAAGTGACAGACTCTAGTGTTCTCTGAGCAGAGTCTGTGTGTGCAGTTCCATCAGTGAGGGCCCCTTATCTATCCATACTGATGCTAACTCAAGAGTTGTAACACAAACAGCTGAACCCACGGGTTGGGATGGTTTTTCATACCCATTTTCCCCCCACAAAATATAAAAGTTCCTGCTCTCATCCTTCCACCTTCCTTCTGTAACATCTTACTGCTGCTTGAGTGATGCCATTTCTGCCACAGGCACTGAATTCTTGTAACTTGGGTGTGTTGGTTAGCAGAATCTGCATTTTCACCCCATCAGATTGTGTGAAGAAATTGCTGTTCCCACCTGGAAAGGCTTTGGCTTTGTGCTGTGTGAGCTGAGCAGTTTGCAAGTGTTAGTGCTTCCTTCTCACACTGCCAGCAAAGAGCAATCCTCTGTCCTTAGGTGAATCCTCCACTGGCTCTGGGGATGTTCTTGGCTTGTCACTGTCAGTGTATGACTCCCCTTGTCATGGTCTGTTTTTAGTTGAAGGAACTCTATGACTTAGGCTGAATTCTTCCATTTCTTTAGGCAGGAGAGTGTCAGAAAAAGGAGCCCAGCAACACTTCAGATGATGACAGCTCTGAGAAGGCAGAGCTGAATGCACAACAAGCATTTGTATTTGGGCAAAACCTAAGGGACAGAGTTAAGGTAAGCACATTGCTTCTCTGGACTGAGAGTTTCTGATGTGCTGTGAAGTTAAAACCTCTGTCTATATGTGAACACAGTTGGGTTGATAAACTAGTCTCCCAGATGTTTAATAAATGAGTTAATTCTGTTAAGTAGCATAAGAAACTGTTTCAAAAGTAGACACATCTGCAATCATAAGCACCACCTAAAGCTCAGGGCAGTGTTAGTGTTTTCTTCTATCTTGTGGCTCAGAATTAAGTTACAATGTGGCCCTAAGATGCTCTCATGCAACTGAGACTTGACAGAGAAGGTGAGAAAAGAAGAGCAGGGCAGAGTGGGCTAAAACCTGGGCATGGAGTGACCGAGTTGGGTTGTGAGAACCTCATGCTGAAGACACATAATAAAAGACAGTGTAATATTGGGGCATAGGCTTATGTTGGTTTGTTGTAGAATGGGTTTGTGGATGGAATTTCTGTAGAAGGAATGAGTTGGGCAACTTGTCAGTAGTTCAAACTGTTACTATGTGCTTGTTTTTGCAGCTGGGAGATGAAAGTGATGAAGGTGCTGATGTGCAGAATGTTGGCATTCCAACATCAGATGTACCTTCTGCAACTAACTACTTCCTACAGTACATCAGCTCCAGGTGAGGCCACAGGGAAACCTGTGGGACAGTTTTCCTTCCTCTTTGAGAATCTGCTCTGTACTGGCTGCAGGGCTGTGGCTGGGCCTGGAGCTGCTGCAGGATGAGATGGCAGCCTGAGATCTAGGGAAACACTCAATCCTATGGGCAAGGGAGATGCATTTGACACCATTTACTTACCCAAAGCCTCTGCAGAAAACTAACCAGTGTAAGATGAGAAAAGTCTCCTGGGGAATGGTTGGAGAGGAGCAGGGGTGGAATACATTGGAGCTCCCAGCAGAGTTCTGTGCTGTGTTTGTGGTGTTCAGCATGTTCATAAATGGTATGGATAAAGGGAAGAACGGTTTAAAAATGAGTTTTTAATGATAATAAGCTTCTCAGAGCATTGCAGAGAGCCTGTAGGAATGAGCAGGAGCCTGAGTGTGGGAGGTCTTTGAGAGAATGTCTGAGGAGGCAACAGCAGCAGCAGAAATGTGGTGAAGGTACGGGTCGAGTGAGGTAGCCTGGAGAAAACTGCTCCTTCTGTGTGTGCAGTGAGCCAGAGCTGAGCTGACAGCCCTCACCCAAGCTCTGAGAGAATGCTGCCTGACTAGTGCTCCAAAAATCAGGTGGTGTAGAGAAAGAGGAGAAAACAGAAGATAACATCTTACTGCAGAGCTGGGAGTTCAGGTAATGACTGGAAAAGTGTGAGGGGAAACCCACAGCGATGGAGTAGAGCAACATCTCTTCTCCTCCTGTAGCCTGATGTGCAGATTGAGGCCGTGAAATAATGGTAGGCAAAGCAACTTTGTCCTTGCATTCTGCAGTCTGAAGCCTCTTGTTCACCACAGAGTAGGCACTAGGCAGTTCTGCAGTCACTGAATTTCTGAGGTGATGCACTGGAGAGGGAGGGAGCACCTCTGGCTGCCAGGTCAGTGTTGTCCAAGACACAGTCAGATCTGTTCAATCAGATTTGCCAGACAATAAATACTGATATGTGGACTTCAAATGGAATACTTTTTCATAGTATGTTCAGGGGTTGGGATGGAGCTTAGAGATGATCCAGCCCCAACCCCTGCCCTGGACAGGGACACCTCCCACCAGAGCAGGTTGCTCAAGGCTTCATCCAACCTGGCTTTGAACACTCATGTGTTTCAAGTCATATGACATCTATTGTCATGTTTCCTTTGAGCCTTCCCTTTGGGAGGATTTATTCCTGGTGGGTCAATTGGCAGAAACCTCATTTTGGACTTTTCTTAAAACAAAGTGTCTCTAAGGGGAGCTGCCTCTGTTTTTCAGCTGAGATGGCAAAGCACTGTGGTAATGGACTTGGGAAAGGAAACTCTTCCCAGTCCTTGGACAATTCTAAGGGTACTGGGTGGCATGGAGGGACCAGCAGGTCATACAGAGCTCTGTGTTAGCATCTGGAGCTCAGCACTGTGGTGTTAATTCCCTTGGTAGGTAAAGCTGTTCTTCCCCTGAGGATCTTCTTATTCAGAAGTACCAACTCTGCATGTGCAGGTGAAAGGTTTGTTTGGTTTCACTGAGTCATGCAGTGACATATGTGCCCCCATCTTCCTAACTGAAATGCACCTGCAGGTTTGTTCTGTGTGTTTTGGGTGTTCACTTTGGGCCTGTGGTGGTGCCATGGAGAGGTGTGTCTGATGGGAAGGCAGACAGTGACTGGTTAAGGCTTTGAGTCTGTCAAAGAGTAAAACTCTTCTTTCTGAAAGGGGTTTAAAATCTGTTCATAAAATCCCCCAGGAGAGGAGGATGTTTATGCTGTAAGGAAGATGGAAAGGCTGAGACTTGGTGGTAAAACCACTGTGGACTAGTCTAACACCAGGCATTACTGTCCCTTCAGTTGTGACCCTGGAAGTGCTTTTGTTTCAGTTCTGTCCCTCTCTCAGAACATTGGCATCAAACCTGTAGCAGTTCAAGTTTGTGCACGTACAGTGCTGCTGAAAGATGTGTGATAAGGCCTCATGTAGCATCCTGCACTGCTGTGGAATTGGTTAGCAAAAGGGGAAGATACTTGCAGTGCCCAAAACATTCCCCATCACTCTGAGGGAATTCTGGCTGCAAAACCAGTTTGTGCTCTTGTGGTCCTCAGTTCAGTTGATGTCTATGTATGTTTGTGCCAACAGTGCTGAGCTGTTTTAACCAGTGACAGTCACTCATCTTGAGGAATTTGATTAGTAGAAGATGAAGAGATGCTTTCCTGTCTCCTCAAACCTGTATTATTTGTGGGTTTCTTTCAGTGCAGAGAACTCTACAAACAGTGCAGACACATCCAGCAACAAGTTTGTGTTTGGCCAGAACATGAGTGAGCGAGTCCTAGTGAGTATCAGTCACTGCCCCTGAAATGCTGAACTCTGTGAGTGGCTGGTGTCACTCAGCAGTTCTGAGAGCCTTTAAGCACACTTACCACTTGAACATGGATTTCTTTCAGTGGTTTCCCTTGTTGGTACCTTTGAGTGCAGTGTGGGGAGGTCACTGAGCTCTTGCCTGCCTCTCCAGGATTTCCCTGCCACACTCTCAGTGTGAGGACGTTCAGAGCTCTCTGCAGTGCACGTGGCTCTTGTGCCCAAGCACTTCATGGCACAGCTGGTTGCTTTAAGTGTCCTCCAAACCGAGAGCAGTTTAGTTCCATGGCTCCCCCAGGGTGGGACTTCAGGTCCAGCTGCCTCGGGGCTGAGGGATGGCTCAGGAAATGCTGTTCGTTTGGAATAACTTGCAGTGCCTCACTGTTTCCTGCTGCTGGTTTGGAACCACATGGGAACATCTGATGCTGAGTATTCCCCCCATCACACCCCGAGCAGGGAGTGCACCCAGCTGTGCTGGGGGTTGAGCTCTAGCTGGATTTGGCCTGCTCTGTTGAACGTGACTTCAACATAAGGACTGAAATCGGTTTCAGTTCGAGGGAGGATAACCTGACCTGGTTTTCAGGCCATGCTCCATTCAATCCCTTGGCATGTGACAGAATGTCTGGGGTTCTCCATGTGCCCGGTGCTTCCCACAGGAGTTGTCCTGCTGGGCAAGAGGAGTGTGTGTTTTCTCCCCTCTGCTCACCTCCTCTTCTCTTTGTGGCAGAGTCCACCCAAATCAAATGAAGGGAGTACAGAGAGCAACAAGGAGAATGCTGCTACAGAGTCTGGCTCTGAATCATCTTCTCAGGAAGCCACACCAGAGAAAGGTGAAAACCCAAATAGTGTTTTAGGAGTGGTGGTTAATCCTTATTTAAATGGTTGTAGTTTTCAACATTCTGTTAATTTACAAAAACAGCAAAGCATTTTTATGTTGCCTTTACTGTCTCTTGCAAGCAAAGGCCCAGGCTGGGGTGGGAGCTGCTGTGGGTTCTCTAACCTTAAGCATGTCCAGGCTGTTTTCCATGGTCATTCTGTGCTATTGGGGTTACCCCCAGCAGGATGAGAGCAAAGGAAATTACCAGCACTGGTACTTGGACACACAGGGTACAGAAGGAATGTGGCAAACTTTAACTGTTCTGTTGTGGCTGAATGTCTGAGTCCAATGTGTGGTGTTGAGGGTGTGCACCACGTGTGCTGCTTGAACTCAGAGCTGTTTGCTGTATCCTAAACTTCTGAGCCTTCAGACTGGCAAGATTTTATGGAAATTGTGGGGATTGTTCTTGGATTTTCTTCAGCAAACTGCTTGCAAGTCCAAGGAAGTGTGGAACTTTGAGTTGTGCTGCCTGTGTGGGCACAGCTGTGTGGCACCAGTGCTGCTGGGGCACCCAGAGAGAGCCAGCTGTCCATGCTGTGCTGTGTGTAGGGACAGAGCTTGTGCCTGTAAGACAAGTATGAAAAGACAATCTTGAAGTTCTGCTTAGCATTTGAATCCATTCCCACACATTCTGTTAAGGTTTGCCATCAGGTTTCTCAGACTTGTGCTGTACTTGTGTAAATCTCAGGACATGATGTGCTAATCATGCTCAGCCTTTCATGATGTTGTCCAGCTAATAATATTTCAGAGTCCCTGGCAGAGTCTGCAGCAGCCTACACTAAAGCCACAGCAAGGAAGTGTTTGTTGGCCAAGGTGGAAGTGATCACTGGGGAGGAAGCTGAGAGCAATGTGTTACAGGTAAGCAGCAGAGGAGCTCTGAGTTTGGGGGGGTTAGTGTGGGTGTCCAGTGGGTGGATCCCCCACACCTCAGCTTTCCTTTCTGTCATGTGCTAAAATGCAAACTTGAAGTGTTTAATATCACATCCTTGACTGTTTCTTCATGTCCTCTCTCTGAGGAAATGTTAGTGTAGAAGGCACCCAGGGGAGCCTGAGCACGCTGAGTCCATCCATAGAAGCTTCTGTCTTCTGCAGAACAACTGCCTGAAGGAAATGTACATGAACTAAACATTTCAGGTCTTTAATTGTTGCACTGCTGGTTGTTTTTTAAAACCTGGGGTGGATTATTGCAGCAGCAGTTTGGTTTCTTGCAAAGCAGAAACCACATCACAGCACTCAGGAGTTGGTCTCGAGGTACTGTTTGAATGAGTGATGTTTTAGGAGGGTATTTGGTCATGACTTGGGCTCCTCATTTTAATCAGGATTTATTCAGCATTGTACTTATCCATTAGCTGAAATAACTCCAGTATGTCCTCAAGAAAAACGTGCAGAGTTTTTATGCTAAAACAAGTGGTATGTGTATTTTTTTCCTTCTTTCTTTATAGTTTGGGGTTTTTTTGAGGCACTTTAAGTTGCTCAGCATTTGAACTGTTATTTTTAAGGAGAGCTCTTTGTTCTTGCAGACACCCTGCTCTGTTGTGCCACCAAACAGCTGCACTGTGGCAGTAACTGGTGCAGGAACAGAGTGATAATCTGTGATGTTTCTTGTCTTGCACTTGTTTTTCCCAGCCATGAATGGTCTCTAAGTGCTTCTCCTGGTACTTGGATTGTTCAGAAATGCCTGAGTGCTTCATGCAGTCACACAGGGCACTGAAGAGATGAGAGTCCTGTTTCAGTGGGTAAAGCCACAGCTTGTAGGAGCTGTGTGCTCAGCACAGGGCTGGTTTGCACCAGTGTGACTTTAGATCTCCTGCCTGACTTCTCCTTTCCCTGTGGGATGGAGTGCACTGGAATTCCATATGGAACTTGTGCAGACAGAACTGTAATGTTGCAGAGATGGAGCTGAGGGTTCCTGGGCAGAGAAACAGGGAATGGGGTGGAAATGTCTCCTCCACCCAGTGCACATGTATGGGGAACTCGAGGGGTCCCAACATGAGGTGAGGAACTCGGCAGTGACTGAAGGTGCATCAGGCAGGGGATACAGAGCAGGGAAGAAAAAGGAGTTTGTGAAGCAGGAGCTGTTCTACCACTTGAAAAATACACCTTTTGCAGTTCCTAACTGCAGGGAGGGAGGAGAAACACCTCTTTTATCCACGGGGTGTGGATCAGGCTTTAGACACAGATCGTGAGCTAATAGGTTTGTTCATCCTTTTTTCCTTAATCCAGGAAGAATTTTCCTTTGCTTTCATTATGCTGAGTCTTCCCAGCAACAAATGCACCTTCAAGGGGGCAACGTGCACCTCAGGCTTGTAAAGGGATTGACTGATTAAGGCAACCTCTCACCACATGACATTTTCTGTGGGGAAGTTTATACCTCATCCAGGCATTGTTCCTGTTGCTTTGACCTTGAGCTCAGGTATTCTCTAAGTATGCTGCTGTTAATGAGACCTTCTGAAAGCAGACAGCATGTTTTGAGGACTTCACTGCAAAGAGTTCACTGCTTTGGATTGTTTGCACAACCATAAACAGTTAACACTTCCAATATGGAATCTGAATACTCTTAACTCTCAGTTCAGGAAGGACATTGAGGGGCTGGAGCAGGTCCAGAGAAGAGCAACGAGGCTGGGGAAGGGACAGGAGCACAAGTGCCATGAGGAGAGGCTGAGGGAGCTGGGGGTGTTCAGCCTGGAGCAGAGGAGGCTCAGGGGAGACCTTAGCACCCTCTGCAACAACTCCCTGAGAGGAGGTTGGAGTCAGGTGGGGGTTGGTCTCTTCTCCCAGGCAACCAGCAGCAGGACAAGAGGGCACAGACTCAAGCTCTGCCAGGGGAGGGTTAGGTTGGAGATTAGGAAGAGATTTTTTCCAGAGAGAGTGCTCAGGCATTGGAATGTGCTGCCCAGGGAGGTGGTGGATTCACCATCCCTGGAGGTTTTTGAGATGAGACTGGATGTGGCACTTAGTGCCATGGTCTAATAATGACAGTAGGGTTGGATTCAATGATCTTGGAGGTCTCTTCCAACCTGGTTGGTTCTATGATTCTGTGATTAACCAGCTGTAGGTGACTAAGAAATCTTATTACTTCAACCAGCCACTCTGCTATGGAGATGTTTTCTGTTGCAGATTCAGTGCAAGCTGTTTGTGTTTGATAAAAGCTCTCAGTCCTGGGTGGAGAGGGGTCGAGGGCTCCTGAGACTCAACGACATGGCCTCAACAGAGGACGGAACGCTACAGTCCCGGCTGGGTAAGGGGAGCCAGGGGCTGGGAAATGCAGGGCTGGTCCCACAGGCTGCTTCATGGCACACAGCAGCAGCCACTGTGGCTTATGTCCTAGCCACAGCAACTCAGCAGCAGTTTGGACTTTTCCTTGCCTCACTTTAAGAACTTTGCCTTCTAGGAACATCTTCTTCTCATATCCTTCTGTTGTGACAAATGTTCCAGTGGCTTTTTCCCCCCATAAAAGCAAGAGTAGCTAGAATATTTGACTAGAAATTGGTGGTAACATCATTCAGATCTGGGCCCTTTGGGACAGGCTGCCCTGTGGTGGTGGAAGTCTCTCTGAACAGGATTGCTCAGGCTGGTAGGAATGTGCATCAGCCTGAGGTTATCATCTCACAGATAACCACTGATCTTTGGTGTATCAATGTAGAAGACTTTGGACTGAAGATCTTTAGATGTGGCTGATGTGGTGGTTTAACCCCAGCAGCCCCCAAGCCTCTCACTGCCCACAGTGGGGTCAAGGAGAGAACAGGAAGGGGAGAAGCTGGAAAACTTGTGGGGTGAGGTAAAGACAATTTCAGAGGGAAAGCAAAAGCCACACACAAGCAAAGCAAAACAGGAATTGATTCACCCCTTCCCATGGGCAGGAGGTGTTCAGCACCTCCAGGACAGCAGGGCCCCAGCACAGGTAGTGGTGACTTGGAGGACAAACACCAACAGTCCAAATGTCCCTGACTGCCTCCTTCTTCCCCAGCTTTGTGTTCTGAGCATGATGTCCTGTGGCCTGGGATATCCCTGGGGTCAGTGTGGGTCACCTGTCCCAGCTGTGTCTCTCCCAAGCTCTCGTGTGGGCTCAACTTCCTCCCCAGCCTGGCAGCATGAGGAGCAGCAAAGTCCTTGGTCTGTGTGAGCTCAGCAATAACAACATCTCTGTATTCTCAACCCTGTGTTAGGCACAAACCCAAACCACAACCCCAGAGCAGCCTCTGGGAAGAGAATTAACTCCACCCCAGCCCAAACCAGCACAAGTCTAGAGTCTGCCCATTGGCAGCTGTGACCAGAGCTCTGTACCAAGGGCTCTCTCTTCACATCCTTTGTAAAGAGGCTGAAACCTTTATACAATAAAAAGCTGTTTTGAGTTTCCTGATGTCTTTTTCCACCTAACTGATGTTGTGTCTTGGCTTTAGTGATGAGGACTCAGGGGAGTCTCAGGTTAATCCTAAATACCAAGCTCTGGGCTCAGATGCAGATTGACAAAGCCAGTGAGAAGAGCATCAGAATCACTGCCATGGACACAGAGGACCAGGGAGTTAAAGTTTTCCTTATATCAGTGAGTACTGGCTTTTGGTTACTTCTTAACCTTCTTGCTGAAGTTGGTGCTTGCTTAAACTAGCTGTGGTTATATTCCCATTTCCTTTGCACCCTACACTGCTCAACCACCACTCCCAGCCCAAAGTCAAGGGGCTTGGCCTTGGTGGGTATGCAGGAACACCACACCAAGGGCTGCCCTGGTAGCCAAGTTGTCCCAAGCATTGCCCATGGATCTGTTCCACACCTCCTGAGACCCTAACTGCAGTGTTTGATGCAGGTTGGGGTTTGCTACTAAAGGAAATGGGCATTATTTAAAGAGTTGTGGCCTAACCAGAGTTAGACCTACTGGGACTTGCAGCACAGGAGAGCTGTCACTGCCTGCAGTGCAGGAGGGTGGATTGGTGCTCACTGGAAGGGAAACACTAAGAAGCTGTCAAGAACATTGTGTTAGTTAAGGCTAACACATTATAGCTCTGATTTTCTTTTGACACAGTATTCAGAGCAGTGATTTCTGTGCTGGCTGAGTGGGGAACAGCAATCCCAGTCAGAGTCACTGAATGGGAGCTCATCACAGCAGAGAAGAGAGGTCATTTCCTAGTGTCTGCTAAGAGTTGGAAAGGTCCAAACGTGTTTTGGTTCACACTGATTGTACACAAGAGGTTGCTAAAGAATTAGTGTTCCTTGGGATCAGGAACTAAGAGAACAGAACAGATAGTCAACTTCCCTGTGACATTAGGTTTGTAGCACTGGGATCTGCAGTCCCACAGTGGAGCTTAAGGGTATCAGTTATCCACTGATGAAGCAGTGAGGTTAATGGGTAGGTTTTCCTCAGCATTTTCCTTCCAGATGTGAAGGTTGGAGTTAATCTGTCATCAGGTTATTTACTGCTATATTTTAGTACTGATGAAGAGGATTTTCTTTGGAGTCATTTGTTCACAGCTCATTGCAGGGGAGTTTTGCAGATGTAGAGGTGACATTCAAGGGACAGAGGGGATGGAAATGACCTGTGAAAGAATCTGAGAAGTGGGATTGATGCTTTGTAGTAACAGTAGTTAGTGTAGGGATTTAACTGGCAGAGTGAGGAGAGAGTTTGGTAGTATTTGAAGGGAGTTCCTTTGTAAATAATGTCAATTAAGTGTCTAGTTTGATAGGCCTGAAAATTGATTGTTTTGAAGGCATAAAGTGCCCATTAACCTCTGAGAGTTAACAAGGTACATTCTTGGACAGGTTGTCATAAATGTTTCCTTCTGAAACAGTTTAAAAAAAAAACCCCAACAACCAAAACAGAATAATCTCTTGCCTGACAGTCCATGCAGTTTGCTCATTGTATCTTGGGTGGAAATTCTGTGTCAGTGCATCCTGAAACAGTGAAGTGACTTGATTACAATTTTAACTCACGTCTGAAGGTGAATGATTGACAGACCTGGAAAAAATCTGCAAGGTTTTCACTGAAGATCTTTTTTTAATACAAGCCTTGGGGAGGTGTCAGGAGAGCTGTGTGATGTCTGGGCAAGGGTTGTGTGAAATCAGCTGGTTCTGGGTGTGCTGCTCAGAGGGAGTTGGTGTGAGCAGAGGAATGTCCTCTCCCACCAGAGCTCAGTACATGTCATGTCCTGCAGTGTGTCCCACGTGTACCTGTACACATCCCCCAGCCCATTCTGACTGGTTTGGACAACCTGTGTGAGAAAACTGAGAAGTAGATTGTGAAGTACTTCGTGACTGGGATATGTTGCATCAGCAGTGGTTTGTTCTGTCCCAATTTCTTCACCTTTTCCTTGTTTGTGCACACTCCAAAATGCAGGCAAGCTCTAAAGACACAGGGCAGCTGTATGCTGCATTGCACCATAGGATCTTGGCCCTGAGGAGTAGAGTGGAGCAAGAGCAGGAAGTCAAGAATGTAGCACCTGAGCCAGAGGTAACACAGTCCAACGAGGAAGACAGTGATGATGATGTCATTGCACCTTCAGGATCAGTTGGAAGTGGTAAGTGAGACAAAGGTGTTTCCTGTTCTCCATCCATTTTTCTATGCTGTTCTTCAAGGCAGAGAGTTCTCTCTGTATGTTATAGAGATTCTTCTGGCCTGTTACTGCTCAGAGGGGAAAGGGAACTCTGCAGTTCTCACCTGGCACTGCCCACCTGATCTGAGCCTTCTGTGGGCTGCTTGGTATGAATCTGAATGTAAGGCAAGAAACAAAAGCTATTTCTTATGACCAAGACCTGCTTTTCTGTTTCAGGTCCCACTGATGAAGGTGATGGGCAGAACGTTGGCAGCACATAGCAGATGTGAGCCCACCTGCTTGCAAGGCTGCTCTGAACACCATCTTGCAGGCACCTCTGGATCCCCCAGGCCAGCAATTATTTCAGGCAGTGTTGAAGGCTCCAGGACTTAAGGACTGTGCATCCCTCTTCTGTTTGTTTGGTTTTTTGGTCTGGATCAGTAGATTCCACACAGAAAAAGCAGACTTGGAAACTACCTGAATGTGGTTTGGGACGTGAAAGCTCATCATATTGATGAGCAAAAAAACAACACAGAACCCCAACAAAAAAACCCTAAACAAAACCACCCCAACCCCAAACGTTTCCCCTCGTAATTGAGATGGCACATTACAGCTTGTCACAGCTTTTCATTGGGACCTTTTGACTGTTTCTTCAGTGTTGGTGTCTTTCAGGCCTCCGAGGTAGAACTTCCCGGCGCAGTTCCGACTCCAGTTCTGCTGTGTATCCCATCCCCTCACACAGGGAATCCGTGGCCTCACCACTTCCTATGCTCACTGGGTGCCCTTTTGGCTTCCTTCTCCTTTGGACTGCAGATGGGGCAGGTTATGTTCTTACTTTTCAATCCCAACTAGCTTGTGGACACCATTCCCTGTACCCAGAGAGAAACAAACCATTGTGGGTGACCAGAAAAGCTTTTTTATTGCAGTAATAAGAGACTTATCCACAGGATGTTTTGCTAACTCTTTTTTTTTTTGTTGTTGTTGTTTCTTCCCATTTCATTATGATTATTTGGGGATTTATATTGTGGTGAGACTTTTTTTTTATTTTAGTTTTTCAATAAGATGCTCTTGTGTGTTGGAAAAGTGAAACTATTGTTTTGTACTGTTCTTTTCTTTTCCTATTTAAGGGAGAGCTAAGCCACTATATATAATAGATGTTGCATCCCATTTTTCTTAGAGGAGGATCTGTTTCTGTGGCTACAGGGAAGTGTAGGAGGCTACAGGTCACACCTTCAGAAAAGCTGAGGAGGAAACAGCTGTTAGCCCAGGGAAGAATTAAACAGGCTCATAATGCTGAGCTCTCTCAGCCAGGAAGATCAGTCTGTGTAGTGAAGCAGCTCTCAGTTTATGGCTTGATTCAACAAGCCATTTAAGCACTTGCCTGACTTAACTCCATGTGAATAATCTTACTGAAGTCACTGCAACTGTTCATGCTTAAAGGTGAGGATATTTCAAACTATCTTGCTGAATTAATGGCCTTAAACAGACAATTTCACTTCTAACCCTTCCTGTCCCTTCCCTGAAGTCTTGCAGCATGAAGAGAAAGGTAACACTTGCCAAGCCTTGAGTAGTTTGGGCTGAAGGTTATTGTACTCTGCTCCACCAAAATAAAGGCAAGATGTGTTTCCTGTGTGTAATTCTGAAGTGCTCCTGCTGTAACCATAACTCACCTTCTCTTGCTTTCAGTGTTTAATCATTTGAGCCTTTTGTATGAAAGTTGAGTTTTATTTTGTTATTAAAACCTACAGTGTGTTCTTGTCCAGCAAAGTTGGAGTGTGGCAGTCACCAGGAACAGTGAGCAGGTCACTTCCACTAGAAATTCCCCAAGTTGTTTTGCTTGCTTTACAAATAGTTTTCTGGTAGATAATTTCTCACTTGCTAATTGGTTCTTCTGTAGCTTAAGGAGACCTGAAATGCCTCATTTAAAAGGAAATTGAAGGGGAAGAAGCATTTAATGCAGCATGAATTGAAAGTTAAACCTCAGGTTGTGGCACAAAGTCAACTTGGAAACTGTATATTCAAATAGCAAAACAGTCCTTGTAGTCTCTTTTAATGAAACACTTTTCCCTGGCAGCCAAGAACAAGCTTTTCCCTGTTATCCACTGCTAACCATCCCTGATGCTGTTGGGGCAGGAGGTGCTTTGCCTTTCCTGATAGCCCATTGAAGGAACACCTTGGATCAGATGTCTGGGAGGTGAAAAGGGCTAGTGACAAGCTGTGCCACTGCAGCTGTGATTTCTCTGCTCATGCCATCTTGCATTTTGGGGTTGTTTCTCCTCAGAGTTAGGGGTTTGTAGCAGTGCCCAGAGCTGTGCTCCCCCTCCTCAGGCCACTCTCTGCCAGGAGCACAGCAGGTTCCTCAGGACCCACCTCAGCTGTTTCTGCATCACAGGCTCTGGGGCACTTCTGTGCTCTCAGGTCAGTGATCTACATTTTGGCTCTGGGAGCTTTTTACACTACTGAGACACTCAGATTTCAACTCCTCTTTTCAAAAACAGCTTTCAAACTGCTGCTTGGCAGCAGCTGCTTATTCGTCAGGTGTGTTGGGCAGCAGGGCCTGGCTGTGGGCCCCAGGCACTGCTCCCTGGGCCCAGGCTCTGTGGGCTCTGGGCTGACCCCACTTGGAGGTATTTCACCTGAAATGCAATTGCTGGTGCATGAAGGTGCAGAAAAATGCAGTGAGCTTGTTTGCTGTGCTGGGGGCTGAAGGCACAGCATCCTAAACCAATTGGCAGCTAGTAACTGGTGCAGATTGGGTTTGAGCTGGAAGCTTTGTTTACAGTCAGGAGAGAAACGTTGCTGTGCACCTCTGACACAGTTGGCTGTGGGTTGAGTTCAAGCCCTGCCCAGCAGAGGTGGTTAGGCCAAAACAAACCCTGACTTAGCTGTAAGCCATGGTAAAGCAGTGCCAGGCAGAGCCAGACACTGCCCCTGTGTCTCTAAGGAGCTGTGTGCCACACAGCTCAGCTCATGGCAAGTACCCCAAGGCCTGTGCTGTGTTTCCTGGCCCAGGGGAGGCTGGTGAGGACCAGTTGTGCTGCCTCACAGCAAATCTTCCCCCTGCCCACCCTCCCAGGGCTGTTGATAACGTGCAGCTGGGGTTGGCAGTTCCTCTGTGGCCTCTTGTAGCTGCTGCCCCACATAGCCACAGTGTTTGCCAGGGCAGGAAAGAGACTGCAGAGGAGTTGAGCACATTTGAAGGGGCAAATGTTGCTAGAGTGGTGTTGGATCTGAAACCAGGGGGAAACCTCTTAGCCATAAGATGAAAAGTAAGGTTAGACCCACAGGAAGTACAAAGCTTAAGGTAAGAAAAGGTGTAACATCTTTGTGTAGTGCAGAGCCCAGGGTGAGAGGCAGTGCTTCAGAGGGGACAGGGAGCAGGTGAAGTGAAGGAGTTCTCAGCCATGCCCCCCTAGCAGCAGGCTGGGAGGTGACCACACTGCAGCAACAAAACCTTCTGACCTTGCTGTGGCTCCTCTCTGTCCCTGAGGTATCCACTGGCTCCATCCCTTGGGTTCTGCCATTGAGTAACTGTTCCTAACACGTCCCACTCTGCAGTTCCACTGGCCTCTTGCTCTCCCAGTGAGTGTAGAAAATGGTTTATTTCCTTTCTTAGAAACATGTTACATATTTGAAAATTTACCATGTCTCCCCATAATCTTCTCTAGTTTTAGGAATTCCAGTTATGATAATTTCCATAATTTGTCATACAAGATTTCATTAAACTGACTTTTCACTGTGTTTTTGCTCCCCTTGTTATTTGGTCTTTCTGTGCACTGAACTCATTGAAACTGAGCTCTGGTCCTGTTTGTGTGGGTAGCAGAGATTCAGGAGGTTATAAGGATGCTTTAATTTTCTGGGCATTTTTCCCCTTTGTGTGAAGAGCAGCACAGGTGCCAAGAGGGAATTGCTAACTAGACTTGAAGTCAATCTTGATTCTTCTCTTCTAAGTCATGGTGCAGGAATCTTGTAAAGAAATTACTCAGATAATTACTGTAAATAAAAGCCTCGTTCACTATAGCATTCATAGCTCCCTTTCACCTCCCTCCTTGCAGGAGTCCTCATTTTGTAAAGATACAGAGCTGAATTTGGCATTGAGAGCACCAATCCTGGTGCTGGGACTGGGCAGGGAGTGCCTTTTCCTGGGATATCTGTGAGTGGAACATGGGGTGTGCCTTAAATGAGCCACTCCTGACTGATTTCTGGGCCTTGGCTTCACCTGCTAAGGAAAAGCCCAGAACAGCCAAGTGGTGATGCTCTGTTTGATGTCCTCGTGCTGGTCCAGAGCCCCTGCTGCTGGTGACACATCCCTGAGCATCCATGTACTGACTGTGCACATGGAAAGGCTTTTCCTGTTGCCCTCTGAAATGCACTTACACTGTCTGTAGTCATCAGCAAACAAAAATTTTGTGCTGGAGAACTCAGAGCACAACTTCAGCTGTAGACAGACCTATTGGACAAGGCCCTGCAAAAAGCTTCCCAAAGGGAAGGATGGGAAAATGTTTGCTGGTGAGTGGTTGTGTCATTTCTGGAAAGTTTTGGAAGGTAGAAAGAGCCCCAGTGGTAGCACCAGGGCAAGGCACTGCCCCTGTTTGGGGGAACTAATCCTCTGTATCAGCAAACTGCTTTGCAGTTACTCTTTGGAGCAGAGTTAGATGTTTTAAGGGTAATGTTACTTGGATTATTGATATGTTGCTTTCCTTGGACTTTGCCTGTTCATAGGAAGATGTGACAGTTCTCTGATGAGCACTGACTGCCTGGGGGGCTCCTGCAGCCCGAGGAGGGACAACCCCCAGCAGCAGCATCCTCAGCCTCTGCAGCTCAGGCACTTGTGCCTGTCGCAGAGGAGAGATGTGGGCAATTCCCAGTCCCCCCTCCCTTTGGGAACGCAGCCACAAATCCACACAGGCTTGGAAGAGCTTTTAACAGCTGCTTGAAGCCTAGGGTGCTGTTTGTTGCTTACAGGGAGACTCCTGCCCTGTGCAAGCTTCAGTGCTTGCTGGATGTTCCTACTGGGAAAAGAGCGTTTGCAGCGCGTGGGGTTCTGCAGTCCAGGGGTTTGCTCGTCCTCACGGGTCACACAGCCCTGAAAGGATCTTAGAATGGGTTTTGCCTGGGGTATCCCTGCCCAGGTGGTCCGTGCCCGGGTGTCCTTGTCTGAGGGTTTGTCCCTGCCTGGGGTATCCCTGCCCGGGGTGTCCCACCCAAGGGTGTCCCTGCCCAGGTGTCCCTGCCCGGGTCTGTCCCTGCCCAGG